CCAGGGAGGGAGGGAGGGAGGAAAGAAGAGAGGGAGGTGAAAAAATACCTCCAAGGAGAAAGGAAAGAAGGAGGGTTAAAAAACAAAAAGAAAAGAAAAAAACAGACCTTAAAGGCAAGCTGTAGCTGTGTGTTCACTCAAGTCACTATACAGGATGAGGGACAGGATTTACTCTGGTTCAATTCCCAGTAGCACAAATTCCTCAGTTACTGGGTTCAATCCTAAATACTACCACCCCCCAAAAAAGAAAAGAATAAAGCTAGATCCTTCTGAGTTTTTAAAAAAAGTTTTGGAAGTTCTGGGGATTTTGATTTTTGTTTTGTTTTTTGTCTGTTTGTTTCTGTTTGAGACAGGGTCTAGCTATGTAACCTAGGCTAGCTTTGAACTCACTATATAGTTCAGGCTGGCCTCTGTCTCATTCATGGTGGTCCTTCTACCTCAGCCTCCCAAGTTCTGGGATTACTGGCATGCACCACATCTGGCTAGTTGTGGGGACTGAACCCAAGGCTTTCACACTGTATATCCCCAGCCCTTTCATTTTTTTTTTTTTTTTTAACTTTTGAGACAGGCTCTCTTTAAATTAAGCTACCCAGTCTGTGTTCACACTTGGCATCTTCCTGCCTCAGCTTTCCAGAATGTTGGGCTCACAGGTATGCACCATGTTAACTGAGAATGCTCTGCAAATGTTCTTTCTTGCTCTAATAATTTTTGTTTGGGTATCCTTCTTGGACAAAAGACCAACAAGCACAATAATTTAGGATTATGGTAACCCCATTATGAATCATTTTTTTAAATCCCCCAGGGAAAAAACAATCAAGGTACTGACTATAGACACTGTCTGTTGGCTGTATACATACATGGTTACAAATTCAGTTGAGGTGTTGCCAGTGTGATGTAGGAAAAGGTGATTAGAGCATGAGCTCAAGGCCCTCATCAGAGGCTCTGAGCAGCGTGCAGCTGTCCTGCTCTCCCTCTTCTGCTGTGTGAAGACCGTGTTCTCCAGGAAGACGCAGCCCTCATCAGGAAACCAGTCCTGCCAGTGCGTACCTTGGTCTTGGACTTCTCAGCCTTCAGAACTGAGAGATAAATGTCTGTTCTTTATAAATTACCCAGTCTCAGGCATTTTGTTACAGCTGAACAGATTAAAACAGCCTGTATTTTCACTGTCCTATATTGTAGTAAAAATTAGGAAGTTGGGCTACCATGACTTGTGGGACAGGAAGTGCTAGTGGAAGCTACAGAGCACAGAGTAGGTATCAGGAGACTGTGGCACACAGGCCAGACTCTTCCCAGGTAAGTCTCACACCTGTTGAAACTAAGTGTGGGTTCACTGGAAGGGCAGGGCCTGAGCAGGCTCCTGCCACCTGTGTCTCTTCAGTGATGGCCTCTTGCAGGTGGCTAACTGGAGAAGTCTTCTTGGTCTCCTATGTTCTGGTGTTAATGGAGACTTGTTTCAACAACGCTGAGCAATGGCCATACATCAGCCACCTGTCTAGGCTATGTATTGGTTAAGGTAAAACAGAAGACAGATAATTTCATAGTGTTAAGATCAGGAATAGGGCAAAACAGTAATAACAAGAGAAGGGATACCAAAGGGCTTGAGAACTGAATTGTATGAGTTAGCCATGCAAACGTTTAGGCAAGTGCACCAAGGGGCAGAAGAGCAAATGATGAGGTTTTCTATGAGGCCACTGTGGCAGAGCAGTATAAACAAAGGATAAGTGAAGTTTCAAAAGGCAGGAGCTAAAAAATAAAAACTGGCTATAATAGGAAACTGCTATGGATCTAAATAAGGTTAACCTTTCCTACTGCATAGAAGTTGGGTGGGATGAGAACTAGGTAGGCACTGCTTCAAGCCAAGTGTGTGGCTTTGGGTGAGACAATGCAGGTGTCTTAGTTGCTTTCTCGTTGCTGGGATGAATACCCAACACTCACAAGTTATAGGAGAGATTTATTTTGGCTCACGGTTTGAAGAGGTTTCCTAATCAGCTGTTTCCAAGGCATAGCAGGCAAGCCTCAGAAGAGAAACAGTCCATAGCATGGCAGGCAGGAAGCAGAGCCATAGAGGGAGGAGGAGGAGGGATGTATTTACACACCCTTCCAGGCCACTCCTGCCCAAAGAGGCATCCCCTCCCAACATTACTCCCAGCTATGGACCCATCAGGGGACTAATCCAGCATAACAAACTCATGACCTTGCACCACACACCCATGATCCAGTCACCTCCCAAAAGCCCCACCTACAAGCACATGAAACTTTGGGAGGCTATCTAGATATAAACACAAATAATAGTAGTAAAAGATTCAGAAGGGCCCATAGGATTTGCATAAAGACTAAATGCAGGATCAGAGAGAATGGAGCCAGGGACTGCCATCCTCTTAATTTGAATGAATTTAAAGTAGTCCCAATTTAAAGTAGAAAAGGTTTGGTTGAAAAATCAAGATTTGTTTTAAGCAAATATGAGATGCTTATTAAGGTGAAGTACTCAACTACTGCACTAAAATCAGGTGCTCAGAGAGGCAGGCTGAATACAAAATTTGAAAGGTATCAGAAAACAATGCCATATACTGGATTATTTCTTTCCTTTGGAGAGAACCAGAGAAGGCAGTCCACATTTGAGGTCAAAAAGGAAAAGAGAAATTAGCAAATACAGGAGTAGTCAGTAAGGTGTAAAGAAAACCGTTAAGTGAGCTTTCAGAGAAATAGAATACTTCAAAAACAAGGATATGGGTAATTAGTGATGCTAAAGGCTTAGTAAAATGACTGAGTAAAACTATGGATGAGACTGGGAAGAGAAAATTTAGTTGACACATGAACCTTCCATTGTATTCTATTATATAGCTGGGTAGCATGGCATCTGCCTGTAATTCTAACTACTCATGTGGCTGAGGCAGGAGGATCACATTGAGGCCAGCTTGGGTGATTTAGTGAGACTCTGTCTCAAAATAAAGGAAAGAGGGCTGGACTGCAGCTCAGCACTCCCTAAATTCCGTACCGAGCAGCATTAGTAATGACCCCCCCAAATTCTGTAGGAGTCCACCATTATAAAATGTGATTAATGGCCCTCCAAAGACACCCAAATCCTACACCTCAGAATTTATAACTGTTACCTTATACAGCAAAAGGAATGCTGCAGATGCAAGTTTTCCCCCAGTACTGGAGACTGAACCCAGGGCCACATACTTTCTAGGCAAGCACTCAACTACTTCCAAGATTTTTTTTTTTAAGATCCCCTTGGTTAATCATTAAGTTACCCAGTTTGCCCTGAACTTGCTCCATGTCTGGCTTAATGTAAGGATTACAGTCCGAGACTGAGACTACCATGGATTATCCAGCTGTGCACCACACAGTAACCAAACACCCAGATACTAAGAGCAGCAGGAAAGTTGGTAATCAGGAGATGCTGTGCTGCTAGCTTTGAAGACAGAAGGGACTGAGACAAGGGACCCAGCTCACTCAGCAGAACAAGCAAGGACACAGCCCTCCCCAGTGCCTCAAGGAGTCTTGATCTAACCCAGTCAGACTTAGGACTTCTTGAACTGTGTTAAGCTACAAATGTGCAGTAATTACTTATAGCACCAACAGAAAACCAATACACAGAGGACTACATACGTCTGGGGTCTCTTTTTAGCAGGGTGGGGGGATGGTACTGGGGATTGAACTCTGGACGTTCCTGCATGTGAGGCAAGCGGCAGCACCACTGAGCTAAATCCCTGGCCCTGGGGTCTATTTTTTTGAGACAAGGTCTTGCTATGTACCCCAGGCTGGCCTGGAATTCAGGGTGATCCTCCTGCCTCAGTGCTGGCTGACAGGCATGTGCTACCACATCCAGCTTTAGGGTCCACTACTTTTTATGAAACCTAAGTAGAAGAAATCCACCTTGGTTAATTTCATAAATACCAAGCAACTTCAATTCCAGTACGGTACATATAAATCTCAATTTTATTTAGGGTTAAGTCAGACTCTGGTAAGTCTGAGTGAGTTTTGATACAATGACAATACTGCTACATAGCAGAGAATCAGGCATATGACAAAGTGACAAACTACTGACACCCTGTGACACCCCATGTGGATCATCGGCTGGTTTTGCTCACGAAAGACCTCTCTCGACTCTCAAATGCTGCCATAGCTTATAGTGCTTTCTTCTGATTATCACAACTGCTCAAAACTGAATCTTACTCTTTACTTGGTTTTTATTTCTTTTAAGGAAAGTTACCAAAGGTCATTCGAAAACTTGATTAGCAAAGAAAAAGAAAATATATTGTTCCAAAGTATCTCTAAATTACTAGTTTAATATCCTGGCATATTTAAAAAAATAAATACATTACTGTCTAAACTCAATTGATTGATGAGTTTTTTTTGGATGAGGTAAAATAAAATGATATGACTTAAACATGGCAAGCGAGTTATGCCATCCTCATGAACTCATTTCTATCTATTTGCCCCTCCCCAGACAACACTGCCCACTGATGAACACTCAATTTTACAAGATTTGGGGGGCACTATGGATGCTTTAGATTTCTAATTGCTTGATTCTATTCTCTGGTAACCTCATGCATCATTTAAATCAGTCATCATTGTAAATTGCAGGTCCTGCATTTCTATCCAGCATGGAAAAGGAGGAGGTAAATGTAACTCCAGCAAACGACATTAAATTCCAAAAGCTCAGTATAAGCAAATGAATTTAAAAGTTAGGAAACAATGTTTACTAAAAGCTGTAACCAAGTTTGTCTTCTGCTGTGTTAGTAATATTGAAAACCTTTCTAAAGCAATGTTTGCCAGTCTATAAACAAATTGTCTTCTGCTGTGGCTATAATGTAGAAAATTTTTCTAGATATTTCCATTTATAAAATTCTAACCTATTAGTTTTTCCCCAAAGAAAGAAAACACTGTTTCATTTTAGAGGCATTTTATTTGAGACAACTAAAAATAATTGGATGTTCAGAAGCAGTGTACAACAAGAGAAATCAAACCAGTTACTTTACCATGTATTCCCTCCCTCTTCTTTACAACTCAAGCAAAACAAAGAGAAGGCATTCTGCTTTAAGGGAAATGTCAGAAAAATAGGTAAATATATTTTTCTTCTCCGTAATAACAAAAAAAGCTACAAGAAATTTAATTGTAATGACACAAATTGGATGTTGGCTTGCACGTATTCATAGAAGAAAAGAGGCTGTCGCACTACCAGAGCCCGGCTTCCCCAACTTCTCTGATGCTGTTTTCACTCACAGGTTGCACCGAGTCAGCTGCTCCTGCGCAGATGCTAATTCATTTTCCTGTTGTTTACTGCTGTTTGCCAGCAAGCAGAATAACTCCGAAGGCTGATGCTGTGCTCTGCTTGCTCCTTTAGTCCATAAATGATACACGATCTGTGGCACATGCTTGATGCTCAGGCTTTAACTTCAGGAGTTGAAGAATAAATGGAATCTGAGTTTTCTGAAGCAATTTCTTCTATAATGAAAAACAAAAGCCCATCAGTCAATTTTATAAAGAAAATACGCAAATCTACATTCCGTTTTAGTGAAAGACTAAGAACAACTTTTTAAAGCATATTCTGGTGGGGTGGGAAGAATAGCAACTGCACTTGCCACTGGAAAGCATGAGGAAAGAGCTCAGAGTGGTTTGCATTAGTACTTTCACATCATAAATTAACCAAACATTTTCTCTTTCTAGGTTAAATGTCCACTGACTTCGACTACCCAACGAGTGCTGTATTAAAGTTATGTCTTCATTAGTGGTTCAAATCCTAATACTTAATGATATTAAATAAAAACATTAACCATTAAACATTAAGGTTTTTTTGCAAAAAGGTACTTATCAAAAAACCCAAAAAACAAAAACACAGTTCTGTGGTAAACCCCATCCTAACCGTCCCCTAAATCATTAGATGTCAAAAATCTGTTATTTGCCTCAATCACAGCCTTATGCATGTCATAAAAAAACCAACTCTTAGCAATTCTGCCACTAGTGACAAAAGCCCATCTAACCTTTTCTGTTCTTACTGCCATTCCCTCACTCAAAATTGATCACCTACACTATCATCAATGTCCACTAACTGGTCTATGTTCATTCTTGTCCCCTGTCCAGCTCTCTCCATACCACAGCCAGGGCAATCTTTAAAAATGTAGATCTAAATTTAATGTTATTGCTCTGTTTGACATTTTAAGGTTTCTCACACGTTCAGTATAGAACTCCGCATGCTGTAATACATTAAACGAGGCTCTTGGTGGCTTAGCTTCTCCAGCCACCTTTTGCCCTTGACTGACACTGCCCGACTGACTTTTTTTTTTTGAGACAGGGTCCCGCCAAGGAGTCTAGCTGTCCTTGAGCTCCCAGCAGTCCCCTGCCTCAGCCTCCCGCGTGCTGGCGTCATGACAGGTGTGCACCACCACACCTGACTTCCCCTTGTTCTTTAGCAGCGAGACACAGTGAGGTTATACCAGGTCCTCATGTACTGGGCTCCTTTCTACTCCTGAGCCTCTGGTCTCAGTTTAAATGTCACTTTTCTAGGAACCCTTCTGATTCCCTTACAAATGTCAAAACTTGTTTAAAGAACTTGCTTAAACAGCATCTATCTAAATTTGACAAGTTCTGTGAGGGTAAACTGCATCACTCATCTCCACACCTGTGTCTACTACTACACAGTATTACATATTTAGCCTATAAATAAGTGCATGTAAATATTAAGCTTTTCATTAAATATGTTTTGTTTTATTTTGGTACTCGAGATTGAACTCAGGACACCTTGTGCTTGCAAGGCAGGCAGCAGAACCACTGAGCTAAATCCCTGGCCCTTATGTTCACATAGAATACATTTCTTTTGTCAATGAGTAAAACACACATAGCACTTCAATTTTAAGGCCCCCAGGATTCTTACAGAAGTCAATTGATTAGTATTTACCTAATTCCTCTTCTGTTGCCTCTGGAAAATTGATCTTTGGCTTTGCCAATTCACCACTATCTTCTTCTACAAAAATAAAAGCAATGATGATAGATTTCATGAATTACATCACAAATAATTTCTACCATTTAATATACAACAAGAATAAATACAACACTATTAGATCAATACATTATAACTGGAACAACTCTTAGCAACTGATTTTTAAAAAGTTTGTCTTCAAAACCTACCTTTAGGCTCATACTACGTATGACTGCTCTGGGATTAGTAACTAGGTATTTTTTTTAAATTAAAAACATTTTCCTTAAAGTAACCTTATTCAAACATTTATTTGTGAATTCATTACATAGCCTTCTAGAAAATTGTGAATTTAAGCTCATTCCCTTCACCAAATAAGCTAAAACTTAGTAGAATAGCACGTGCAACAAAGAAACCTAAACAGAAGAGCACAGTGGCCAATTTATAATCATGGCTTCTTGTTACTTACATGATTTCACATCTACGGAAACAATGAAACATAACTGATAAAAAAATGACATAAAGCTATGCACTTTAGGAATATAAATTCTTACCCGGAAGCACACATTTCCAAAGGCCATAGGTCTTCCCTACCACAGTCTGCCACAGTCGCAGAGTCCCATCTTCGGAACCACTGGCATAGAGCTCTCCATCAGGACTGAATCGCACACAGTGAATGGGACCAAAGTGTCCTTTGTAGGATTCTGAAAAACAAAACAAGGGCTATTAGAAAATTTAATACTTAATCATTAAATTCAGTATTGATAGATGAAAGAAAGTATTTCCCATATTATTGGCAAAAGGCAAACTTCCTAAGTACAAATACAAAGAACTGTTATCTAGTTAATTACCATGACCAGGTGGCACATCACTGCCTACCACTGTTCCCTAAGATCACCCCTTTTTAAATTTAGCATGCAACATAGTTTCAGGGTTTCTTTCCAGAGGAAAATGAGGCTTCATTTCTTACTGAAGATAGAAGACAGGTCAACAGAAACCCCATAAAGTATAATTTCAATTACCATATTTAAAACTCACTACCTATTGTTTAGGCACCAATTCTTTCTACAACTACAGAGAGCCACCAGATGGCGCTTTTCACACTCTGCTTAACTTTCTACCAAGCTTTGTAGGTTTTACTCATTCATTGCTCTGACACAGCAACCATAGAGATACAGGATCCATATTGGTCCCTAAATATTTTAAACCACAGAATCTAATGAGAAAATGTTCAGACTTGGAGTTTTTTCTAATTTAAGTCATATCCGTATTTATGACCCTGACTCATTTACATTCTAATGCCTCTCCATTTGTCCTTGGAACTCATTAGCCTAATATTCCCGATTATCCTCCATCTCTGTCCAACTAGAAAATAAAAAAGTTATGACAGTAAAAGGACTGGGGCTTACCAGCCCTTATCTAGCACTTAACAAGCTCAAGAGCTGAGGTTAATCACCAGCAAAAACAAACAAACAAAAAGAACCACAGAAGTCCAGCATTCACTAACTGTGGCCTCAGTTCTTAGACAGATAATTCAGGTTTGTTCTCTCATCTTTTGGGATGGTGGAGACTGAATCCAGGCCTTGCAAATGCTAGGCATGCACTCCAGCTCAAGTTTGCTCATCTTCAGAAAGGATTCAATGTGAACCAAAGTTTAAAATACACTTTCACAACTCAGGTCCATCAGTTCTTCCCAAGAAGCAAAACACAGAGGTGTCTTTTGTTTTTGTTGCAAATTTAGTTCTTTAAGTGGTAAAGCCAGACAGAAACCAACTATAAAGTGGCAGCTATCTAAAAAGTGGCAGGTTATAGATAAAAAGGTTTATGAAAATCAGATCTTCTGAACCAAAAGCCAAGTATTTTGGAATGAGGTACTGAGAACCATACATAACTGTGAACTATCTGGTCCATCATTTAAAGTTAGAATTAACTTTAAATTAATCCTACATTAACTCTTCCCCAAACAAAACACAAACATAATGGGAAATTCAGACTCTAAAATCTCTTAGCATCTGCTAATTGTGCGATTTTAACACAAAAAGCCCTTCACTAAAGACTGAAAATCATTGCATGACACTAAGAATATCACTACAGTTCATACAACTGAACTGCAGTTCAAAGCAAAAAACAATATTGAGTTCAGCATACTTTGCTCATAGGATTATAAAATTTTCTACCTAAAACAGAAAAAACATCTTTATTTTTGCATTTCTAAGTACCAAGCTTTACTTAGCTGAAAAACTTGCCTTCAATATGTGACATACATAAATGAGGTATTAACTACTGGAGGTGAACATTTTATAAAGGTAAACACATAATTTTATGAGAGGAAAAAGAGGACAACTCACCTAATTCTTCTCCGCTATTATAATCATACTTATAAAGTTTAAAGTCTTCGCCACCTGCAACAAGAAATTCCTTTTCTGGATGAAGAGATGCAGAATTGATGGTTGCAGGTGCTTCAAAGGATTTAATTGGGTCCAAGCTAGAAAAAAATTATTTATAAACGTTAATACTATACAAACAATGAGGAAACAATTACATTTTAAAACTGCTCCTAAATTCTGAAACTCGAAGGACAATTCAATATTCATTTAGTGAAACACAGATAGCAATATTTTAAAAAGTTCAGAAGGGGCCAGGTTCAGTGGAACAAGCCTGTGATCCATGCACTCTGGGAGGCAGACGTGAGAGAATCAAAGGTCTGAACCCAGCCTGGGCAACTTAAAAAGATCCTCTGTCAAGCTGGGCCTATAATTCCCATGCTTGGGAAGCTGAGGCAAGAGAATCACTGCCAGTTCAAGGCCAGCCTGGGATACACAGTGACTTCAAGGTCAGTCTAAAGTGAATAGGGAAACTGTCTCAAAAAACAAACAAACACACACAAATAAAAACTAGCCCTAGAAATCAGTGTCTTAAAGCTAATTAAAATAGCATTGTACTATAGTGGGATTTCTTATCTCAAAATATTTTCATTTACTGTTTAAAATTTTTTTCACAACAAGTATACATTATATTTGTTATACAAGTATACAATGTATTTGTTTTTTTGTAGGTACCAGGGATCCAACTTGGGACCTTGCACTTTCGAGGCAGACAGCAGCACCAACAAGTATACATTGTAAAGAAAAATGTTTTGAAGTAGATAACTAATAGGATTATTTGTATGTTATTCTCAATTGTTGAGGGTTTAGTTTAAGCTTATATAATTAAAGCTTATACAATAAAATGCCATACAATATGAACTATAAAAAAAGCTCTTTTTACTACCAGATAGTAAAACAACTAAATTAACAATCAACATATAACCTGAAAATACCTTTACCTGAAAATAAATTATAGTTTGGACATCTAGTCTTTTCCAGTTCAAACTTGAAAGATTATGGACTGTCTTAAACATTACAAGACACCGTAACATTCCAGCTCTTCAATGCCTCCCTCCTATTCCCATCAACACACTACCAAGCATGAAAATTAAAATTAGCCATGATTTCTGAAGTCTCACTGAATGGCAATTCATGGCTGGAATATTTGCATATTCAAGAGGCCAATTAAGTCTTGCTACCAAAACAGGATTGAGGCTTAAGGTAACAGTCTATAGCAGGGTTACACCTCACCCCTGAGTGAGCATTTACACAGCTGTACAATTTGGTGGCTCTAGGCACAAGCATCCTAGTACAATCAATTCGCCATCTTGATATTGAAACTCTACAATCTTTAAATTTCAGATCCAGGCATAGTGGACTATGTCTATAATCCCAGCTAATCAGGAGGCTGAGGCAGGAGGATAGAGGACTGCAGGCAAGCCTGGGAAACCTAGTGAGAGTCTGTCTCAAAATAAAGAAAAAGGGCTGGGGATGCAGCTCAGCTAGAGTGCTTGGCTAGCCTGCACAGGCCCGGGGTACAAGCCCCAGTACTGCAAAAACAGAAGCCCACAACATACTCCCCTCTCTTCCTTCTTACAGTTCCTGGCCCCACAAACTCCCTTTTAGATAAATGGTTAGGGCTATAAACAGAAAGGAGTATGGCAGAAGTTGATGGAAATCAATTAAGAACCAGGCATAAATAAGAACTTCAAACTCCTTTTACTCTTGGAACTCATAATCCTATTTAAAGGACTTCATTGTGAGGACACAAACGTGCCAAGACACTCACTGCAGTGCTGAAGCACAGATCTAAAACATCATTAGTACAACGTATAATCCAATACAGCAATTAAAATGTTTTCTTCTTTGAATGGCTTAGAATATTTTTAAATAAAAAAACTATTATTATGGGCTTAGTGATTACAGAAAAAAAGAAAAAACCCATACAAAAATCAGAAGAAACACCCATACAAATATATACACATGTAACAAGGAAAAAGAAAAAAAAAACTAGCAGAACACTCAACTACCATTAACATTCTGGAATCTAGCTAATAAGACTGCGGGCACATTTAATTTATTCCCCAAAATTTCTAAAAACATTTACTGTAGTGCCAAGTCACAGAACTTAAGTTTGTTTAAAGTTCACTAGGGTATGCTCATAATTAGAAACAGAAAAGTCACTGTCTCTCGAAAACTTTGAAGTGAAATGATCACAGCAGTTTTATAAAGAGAATTAATTACAACATCAAAACTGGATTTAAGAAAAATACAACTTAGAACTTGCTGAGTTTTACAAGTGTCCTTAATACCTGGAATTTGATTAACTCCTCTGCTTAAAGTATACCAAGTTCTTAAATATTTCCTTTCATATTAAATTACACAGATTCCAGTTCACCTTCCTTGTGGTTTGTGTTTTGAAGATGTGGCCTCCAGTGTGCTATATTCAGAGGTGGGGCTTGGATGAGGTCTCTGACCGCACCAATGGGCAAGTCCATCATGGATTCCTAATGCGATGCTATTATTGGGACATGGGAAAATCACTAGGAGGTGGAGCCTAGTTGGAGGAAGAAGGCCACTTACGGATTGCTCTGGAAGTCTGTCTTGTCCCTAGCGCCTCCCTTGTACTCTCTACTTCCTGTCCTGCCATGAACCCAGCCACCTTTTCCACTGCATGCTTCCTGCCATGATGTTTTCTGTCTCACCATGGGTCCAGAGGCAATGGAGGCAAGAGACCACAGAATGAAGCCTCTCAAACCATGAGCCAGAATATATTTTTCTTTCTTTGAATTGATTTTTTTTCTCAGATATTCTGTGACAGCAAAATGCTAAAACATATGCCTTTTGATTTTTTAAAAAAGGTAAAAGGCCTTTGTTAAGAAAGAAATTGAGGGGCCAGGGCTTTAGCTCAGTGGTTCTGCCGCCTGCTTCACAAGTGTAAAGTCCCGAGTTCAATCCCCAGTACCAAAAAAAAAAGAAAGAAAGAAAATGAGGGGAAGGGGGGGGTAAAAGAATTGAGATGTGATATGTACATGTACCAATTCCCCACAATGAATATAATCATTATATACTTCAAACACTGATTAAATTTTTGGACTTACCTTACTGCACTATGAAAAGCAATAGATCGTCCATAAGTAATAACCAGGATCTCTCCTTCAGGAATATATTCCATGCTACTAACAGACATATTAAAGTTCAGGGACTTCACTTCTGTCATAGTAGCATGATCCCAAAGGCTATAAAAAAGAGAAATATGGTAATATTTATTAAATTCAGAATTCATTACATTCTACCTACAGATACATCAATGATAGAACAATTCCAATTGTAGTAAAACAGCTTTTAGTTCGTCAGTCATAAATGATAAATTATATAGAAAAATTTCAAATTCCTATAAAATGTCAAAATGTTCAATAGGCTTTTAGTGAAATCAACTTCCATACCTAAATCACTTTCCAAATACTTTAGCAAAACAATGTCAGTGTGGTACATCGTAATCTAATTTAGTTTTAGCATCTTTCTAAATCAGCATTGTCAACACTATTTTTGTCAGTATAGTGACTGCTGTGTCTTTTCACAGAGAAATACATCAAGGGTCAGCACACAGAACTGTGCACAGAATTTTATGAGCTTTGTGAAATCCTGTTGGCTGACCTATCCACAGACCTAGGTTAAGAACACCTATTATGAAGTGTCAGTTTTAAGGTTCTCCTGAATCCTACTCTATGTATATAGTAGTAAATGGATAGCTCCAAATAAACATGACCTATGTGTAATTTAAACTTTAATGTCAAATAAATTTTGTACCAAACAGTTATAAAGAATATTTAAATTATTGTAGGGCAAACATTTTTCAAATTTAAGACATTACTTACCGAACAGTTTTATCATCAGCTGAAAGAATCTGTTTATCCTCACTGCACCACAGAGCTTTTTTAATACCGGAAGTGTGACCACTGATTTCTTTAGGTTCTTAAGATAAAACAATTTAAAATATATTTAGCATTTAATTTTTTAAGCTGAGCAATATGGGAACGACTTAAAGATATATTAAAAAAGTATATTTTAAATTAGACTGCAACTTTTCAAAGCCCAGCACAATTTAAACAATGTTTATCAATTTTTCTACATTGAAACAAGAATTCATCTGCAAGGCAAGGAACTGATGAACAATGATCCTGGATGCATGCAGCTGTGTGTAACACTTATTTTCTCAAGGCTAATTTTCTACAGAACTAGTAATATTCAAAAGCATTATATCACAATGCAATAATAATTAAAATAACTAATGTGGCATGATTTCACAAGAACATGAATCTAAGGAACAAAGAGGCCTGAGCTAATCCTATCCCTGAGATTTGGGACTTTTATGCAAGCCACTGTTGGTAACAACTAAAAGGAAAAAACAGAGGAAAGTTGAAGCTGTAGTGGAAAAAACAGCACAAGCTGGGCGTGGAGGCACACGCCTGTAATCCCAGTACTTGGGAGGCTGGGATCATTGTGAGTTGGAGACCAGCCTGGGGTACATAGTGAGTTCCAGATCAGTCTCAACTACACAGTGAGATCCTGTCTCAAAAAAACCGAAATAAATAAATAAATAAAACAAAAAAACCCAGCACAAACAATCCCAGAGAGGAAAGCATCAACAATACTAACAAAAAGCAGTAGTGGAGATGTGGGCTGTCTCTGTAGGAGACCGTCTTCAAGGAGATTTCCAAAAAAGTCCTCATTATCATCTCTGGGAAAACGCAGATACTAAAAACAATGTCATTCCACACTACTTAGATTTACAGGCTATTACATAACTTCTCAAAAACTATATCCCTTTATCTATCAACAAAATGAAAAGTATATTCCTTCATCTATAAACAAAATAACTGTCAGCCATTATATCTCAGTTGAACTGTGAGGATCAGGTAAGAATATACATCTAAACCAGGTGAGGTAGTCCACATCTGTAATCTGAAAGACCGAGGCAGCAGGATTACAAATTCAAGCTCAGCCTGGGCAACTTGGCAAGATCCTGTCCTCAAAATTACAAAATTTTAATTAACAAAGGGCTAGGGATGTAGCTCATATATGCACACATCTAACATTACTGACATACAGTAAAATTTCTTTTAACTGCTATCACTTCTACTACTGGCCCAGTGGAAAAGCAACTTTCAAAAAGCAGTCTTGAAAGTAGGGGGCGGTGGTAGACACCTCCAATCCTAGCACTTGGGAGGTTGGAGGAGGGATGCAAGTTTAAGGCCAGCTGCATTGTGAGACCTTGCTTACCTTGCTCCTCTGCCATAAAAAGAGCAGGAGGACCTTTGGAAAGGTAAAGAGTAAGAAAAAGCCTACCAAAATCCTGAATTACCTTGCTTTGTCAGACACTGATTGAGGCCAGAGAATTCTGCAACATTTTGGCCTAAGGCTATCAAAAAGAATGCGTAAAACTCCTAGATGCCAATGGAGAATAAGAAATTTCTAAGTATAATTTGTTTCTGCAGTTTAAAAATGGAAAGTACCTCAAGAGAATTTCTAATGCATTTTTAAAGTTTTTTTTTTTTGGGGGGGGGTACCGGGGATCAAACTGGAGACCCTGCACTTGCAAAGCAGGTGGCGGAACCACTGAGCTAAATCCCTGGCCCAGGTTTTTTTTTTTTTGGCTGTACTGAGATGTGAACACAGGCCCTTTATGCACATTAGTTAAGTGCTCTACCACTAGAGCTTCATACCTAGCTCACAATGTACTTTGAACTCACCATTTTAAAATTTCAGAATTTACAAATAATAAATGCTCACAGTAATAGCAACTAATATATAATAGCCAAAATAAGTCTACTTACTATATATGTGTGTGTGTGTGTGTGTGTATATATATATATATATATGTATATAAAAAATATAGAAAAACCCTTAATTCCATAAGAGGTAAATATTTGCACTAGAAAGAGAAGACCATCCAGTCTTCTTTAAAAAACAGTAAGGGCTGAGGATATGGCTCAACAGTAAAGCACTTGCTTCCTATGTGTGAGGCCCTAGGTTTTATCCCCAGTCCCAGAAGGTTAAAGAAAAGTTAAGACAATATGATGGTTTAGATTTAAAATGTCCCCCAAAAGTCTCACATATTCAGAAGTAGAGCCTGGTCAAAAGAGGCAGGTCACAGGAAAGTACCCTGGAAGGGTATATTCTTATTCCTGGCTCCTCTCTCCCTCTCTCTGCTTCCTGGCTGCCACAAGGTGACAGCTTCCTCCTCCATGCCCTAACACCATGTCATTTCCGCCTTGAAGCCAGCCAGCTGTGGACTGAACCCACTGCAATGTGGGCCAAAGAAATCTCCTCCTTTATGTTGTGGGTGGTCAGGTATTTTGTCCCATCAATAGGAAAGCGACTAAGACAGAGAATACAACTGATGAGACAGACAATGGGTAAAAATAGGTAATTTGTTCATAAAAAAGGAAATACATGAAAAGGGTACTAAGGAAGATTTAAATCTCATCACTAATGTTTAAACCTCATTAACATAACAGAATCACTTTTTCTATCAAACTGGCAAAAATAAAGTCAGTTGCTAGTGTTCACTAAGCAGAAATTAGGTTTAGAAATCTGTTTATGCTTCATAAGAAGGGATTTTATCACTGCCAATTATTTATGATTCCACTATTCCTGTTGCTGCGACCATGGCAGCACAGAGGATGAATGATTACTCAGAGACAAGAGTTCGGTCACTGAGAGGCCCAGTGTTAAGGGAGATTCCCAGGAGAAAAAGCCCCAGAGCCAAGAATTCTCTGGGATTTTATGTAGGGTATCAGTGTAAAGAAAAAAACAGGAGAAAAACAGTCTGGAAAGGAGTTGTCTTAAGGCTAGACAGTTTTTCTTGAGGAAAGGGGAAGGAAATGGCCAGACACAACATGATTCACTAATCTAAACTTTTTGTTTAATCATTCGATTTTCACAGCTTGTACACTTTTTTTCCTTCTTTTTTTTTCACAGCTTGTGTACTTTTACCCTGCAGTTTACTTAACTCCTTACAGAGCCAGTGTGTTTTCACCCTGCAGATTAACCATTCATTCCTTGGCAAAATCGCCCCTACACTCTCCTACTTTTGGTTATTAGCTGAAAGAAATCACTGTGAAAAAACGGGCAGATATAGGAATGTCTAGCATAATTCTGGTTTAAACATTTAAAATATATAAAATAGCCCAAAGAGGCCTTATGGAGAAACTGGTTAATTCACTTACACATACCCATAGGGAAGAAAGCAATAATCACTGAAGAGTTTATAGAAAGAAATATCACTGCAGATTTTACAAGATTATTTTAAACAGCTAATGTGTTCACACGGTTCAAAAATCTAAACAGTTTCCCAGGTGGGGTGTGGAGCACTCAGGAGGCTAAGGCAGGCAGTTTGCTGTGAGTCCATGGCCAGCCTGAACTCCACAGCAAGACCCTGTCTCAAAAAAACAAAAACAACCAAAACAAAACAAAACAAAAACCAAACACCTAAGCACTTTAACATGTACACACAAAATTCTTACTATCTTCACCTTCTACAGATAACCATTCTACAAATTACCAAAAGGTAGTGACACCACTTAGTGTCATAAAAAAACTTCACCATAATTCATTTTTAAATTCTAAGAAGGCTATACAAGAGTAATGTACTCAATAAGCAATATTAAAAAGGCTAGCTACATGGAAAAAATAAAGAGGATTAAACAAAAATGCTATTAACAGTGATTAATAATGTATTAATCATTGTGATTATTTTTCTTTTCCTAATTTGATTACTCCTGAAGTTATTTTAAATTAAAATAAAAGCACAAACCAATGCACAAATGACATTTACCTGCTTCAGGTTTGTTTAAGTCATATATACGTAGCAGTTTATCTTGCCCTCCAGTTAACAAGTAATTGCTATCCTAGAAACACAAAGAAAATGTTAATAAATTAACCTCTTCAATAGTTAATTCTCTTTGAAATTTTTTCAATACCTACTAATATCCAAATATAGCTACAAACATCAAGAGATGCAGGTTATAATCAGTTACTTCTGAGAGGACACTGTGGGAACATCCAGCCCTTTAAATGTCCCAGTTTAAATATGTTAACACTACACTACCTACTGCAATTCTCCGTCTGCCCCAATTCTCCCCTCCCTCCCTCAAAGCACTTTGCTCATGACCCCGAATTTCTCTTCTCCCTTCTGAGAGTAATTGAGGAATGTTATCCGACTTTTTTTTTTTAGATGTTTGCTGTGACTGGTGAAGAACTGAGACAAGAGTTCAGGATAGTGAAAAGCCTCAGAATTAACTAGGAAAAAACAAGTTTGCACAGTTTAATAAACAACCAAATAAACAGAAACCAATATACAGCAAATAGTCCACAAAAACACAAACCAAATATACAAAGCATCAACTATAAAACCATTACCATACAGTGCAGTAACAGCAATTTATCTGTCATCAATTTCACCTTCCTTGTTTTTGGTGTGTGCTGCTGGGGGATCCCAGGTCCCTGCACATTCAAGGGGAGACTCTACCACTGAACCACACCTCCTGCCCCAATTCCACTTTCTCATACCTGTGTGAAATCCACAGTCTTGACAATGTGTTTGTGAGCCAAGGTCATCAATTCGTCTCCCGAGACAGCATCCCACACTTTGCTGAAAGTGAAAAAAATAAAAAGGATATTACACAACAGCAGTATGTTTAAATGATAAATATAATGGTAATTTTGATTATCACCAAATAAGTTAGATACGTGAATTTTTATGAAAATGAACTGCAAGTCTCCTTTGTTGTAAATATCCCTTGTTGTAAAGCCTTATTACCCTATCTCTTTTTGGTAATGAAAACGTTTGGAAGGATTTAAGTACAAAGACTCATAAATCAACCCATTTGATTTCTTTTCTGAAATGGGGATTAAATCCAGTTTCTGTCCTGAGCCACACCCCCAACACTACATTTTTATTTTTTTGAGATTCCCACTAAGTCATAAACTGCCCACATTGGCCACAAACTTGTGATCTTCTTGCCTCAGCCTCACAGAGTGCTGGGAATTACAAGCATGCACCACCACACTTGGCTGTATTTTATCTCACAATCTACTCACTTGAGTATGCAAAATAAAACAAACAAAAAGAAAGCCTTTAAAAAATTTAACAGAGTGAAAGATTGTGGCCTAGATTAAATAAAATTTAAAATTAAGTGCAGAAAACATTCCCATTTCTTCTTCAAAACTGTTCCTTAGATTTTCAAATGCTAGTCCACTTAGGGTCCCACAATGTATCAAGTTGATAATGCCATGCTAAATTCAGGATCTGAACCTCTAAATTTGTTTTCCCTGACTCACCTTCCCCAAAAATATATGCTGGTAGTTGTATCTTTACAAATATGTATGTGTGTGTGTGTGTGTGTGTGTGTGTGTGTGTGTGTGTGTCAAGGGAGTAACAGTTGAGCAATACTTATTTTTGAAGGGGTTCCCCAAATAAAACAGGTCAAAGAAGAATTTTAAAATAAGTTAATTTTAGAATGTAAAAGGTCAGTGAAAAAAACAGTAGAAAACTTTGCATTTATGGCAAAAAACCTTTAGAAAATGCTTCCTGGAAGGCAGGTATGATCATGCATGCTTATAATCCCAGCTACTTGTGAGGCTGAGGCAGGAGGATCAAAAGTTCAAGGCTATCCTTCACTACCTCAGAAAGGGCTGGGTATGTAGCTCAGCAGAATACCCTTGGGTTCAAGCCTCAATAGTAACAAGACAAGCCAGGCATGGTGGTGCACACCTGTAATCCCAGCACTTGGGAGGCTGAAGCAGGAGGATTGCTGTGAGTTCGAGACCAGCCTGGGCTACATAGTGAGTTCCAGTTCAGTCTCAACTATATAGTGAGACCCTGTCTCAAAAAAACTAAAACCAAAACCAAAACAAACAAACAAAAAAAGTAACAAGACAAAAAACCAAACTCCATACAGGCTTCCATTTTAACGTAATCAACATTTATTTTTAGGAACAAAGTGGGCACTAACACAAAGGTCCAAGGAGAAAAAAAGCAGGAAAAAGCAAGGGGCTATTCATCTTTTGTTTACTCAACACACACACTATAAACAAACCACATGTCTCATTCTAGATTCAGTGCTAAGGCACATAAATAGGACAGAAAAAATAATCCCACAAAAAGTTCCTAGTTTAATAGCACTTTAGCTGAGGAGAAATGCATGCACTAAATAGCATGTTTAATAAATGTGATTTAAAAACAACTACATGTAGGTATAAGAGCACAGAAAGAAACACACTACAAATTATATCAAAAAAGTTCAGAAAAGATATAGAGCAAGCAGTCTTAAAGAGCAAGTAGAAATACATTAGGGGAAAAAGAAAGACTATGGCAGTAAAGCATTAAGAGCATGCTCAATGGCTAAGAAATACGACAGATCGTGTAACTGGGAAGACAGCAAATTATATACTGTACTTGTATTATAAGAGTGGCTGGAAAATATGTTCCAAGAGAAATATCAACCATGAGTATTATTACTGGTAAACTCCCAAGTGTTCACTTCTCCGTGCACAGGAAACCTGTAGCATTGTGTGTCCCACTCCAATTCAACTCTGACTCTAACCTACTTCCCCACAGCTTAGTTTTGTATTATTTTTCTGAATTTAGCCATGCCAGATTGTAAATATTCTTTACACAAGCCACACATTTTGTTCCAGGGTCTGTGTCCTTGTTCACATTGCTCTCTTAAGTCTGTACTTCCTATTCTCAGTGACCAAAGTTCCTCTCCCCTGACGATCTTCTTCCATTAAGCCTTCTATCCTCACCTCTGGTGATAACCACTGCTTTCTGATTACTGTGATTTTGCTTTTTGTTTTCATACTGTGGTTTCAAAAGTCTCCTATGTGGAAGGTGACTGGATCATGACTAGCCAATACTTATTGGTGGATTCACTGAAAGTGCTGTTAGGTGGGGGGGCCAGGTTGTGACCTGGAAGAGTGTATTCTTGACCCTATGTCCTCCCTTCTCTCTCTGTTCCCTCTTGGTTGCCACAGGGTAAGCACCTGCCTCCTGCCAGGCCCTTCCACAATGCTGTTTCTGCCTTGGAGCCAGCTGACTTTGGAATGAATCTCCTGGAAACTGACCCAAATAAGCCTGTCTTCCTTTTAAGCTGTGAGTATTGGATATTTTGCCCCTGTGACAGGAAAGTGGGTTCAACCCTCAATGTGTAAGTGTGTAGGAACATACACACATTCAAACACACACACACACACACACACACACACACACACACACTACACACGAAACAAGAAAAAAGAAAAAACGATCTACTGTTGAGGCAGAAGGATCCTAAGTTTGAGCCCAGCTTGGACAATTTAACAACTTAGTGAAAACCTAACTCATTGAAAAAGGGCTGGAGATGTAGTTCAGTGAGAAGGCTCTGGGTTCAATCCCCAGTACAACAGAAAAACAGATCTATTGTCACCGTGTATTTTCTGTTGCTAAAATAACCTGAGGAAAAATGCTACATAGGGATCTGGAATGTCCCCCTAAGGTCCATGTGCTAAAGAAAGACTTGGTCCCCAGAGCTTGCCGATACTGGGAAGAGGTAGAAACCTTTAAGAGGCAGAGCCTAATGGGGGTATCATGTCATTGGGGGAATGCCCTGGAAAGAGACTGTCCTCTTCCTCTTTATTTCTTTTGCCTTTTGGTCATGAGGTAAAGCTCATTGCACCACCACGTGCTCTTGTCATGAGGTGCTGCAACAGCCCGAAGCAACAGGGCCACAAAAGTTAAAATAAATCTTATCTCTCAAGAGGTTGACTGTCTCAGTTTTTGGTCAGTGACCAGAAGATGACTAACTTGATAAATTGGGTAATTTATATAAAGAAAACGGGTTTCTTCTGGCTCATATTTGAAAGTCCAAAAGCACACACTTGTGTGTACATGCTTCCAAAGAGGGCCTTGTGAGCCAGGGATTTAGCTCAATGGTTCTGCTGCCTGCCTCACAAGCACAAGTCTGATCCCCAGTACCAAAAAACCAACCAACCAACCAAAGAGGGCCTTGTAGAGCGCTGTGTCAGGGCAGAGAAATGAAAAGAGCAAGTGGACATACAGGGAAGAGCACAAGGGAGGTGCCAGGCTTGTTTGAGAGTGATCCACTCTCCTTGAGAACTGATCTTGACTCAAGAAAAACATTAACTCAGGAGAGCAGTGCCCATGTGACCTAATTACCTCTTCAATGTCCTAACACCACAAAACCAGGGACTGCGCCTCAACTGAAACCTGGTGGGGACAAACTGCAGCAATTATCTATAGATTTCTGGACCCAACTCCCGATCTATTGAAGCGCTCTCCAGAGCAGAGGACAGCAATCTTCTCTGCTCCAGAGGTCTGCACAGATGATTCTGATGGGACAGAAGAGGATCCCATGGAGTGAGGTTAACATTAGCTTCATGAATAAAAAGATAAAGAGGATGGTGTCTCTGAGACAAAACTGTAGATAGAGTCAAATACCACAATTACTCTAACATAGCATGTTTAGAAAATTGATTCACATACTTGTTCAGCTGAATATACTTTCTCCACAAGAAAAGAGAAACAAAGTTCCTCTCTAGGTGATCATGCCATAATGAGTTTTTTATGACATTTAAGAATGGGGGAAGGGGTTTTGTCCTAAAAATAATTTATACCAACTAGGATTTATCTTGTAAATTTGGAGGAGCTACTCTTTCGCTGGATCAAGTTCTAACAGCAAGTTCCATACACATCATTAAAGGGGGAGAATAACTACATATGAATACACATACTCCTACACATCACAGAAGAGACAAAAGAAATAAAGAGGTAAATCTCAGCTATCATTTACAGAACACCCACAGTGTGACAGATACCATGCTGGACTCCCTCTAAAGACACAGTGGAGAAAGCTCCATCCCTCCAACAGCTTCACTTGGTTTCATTTTGCAGAAAAGAAAGTTTAAAAACACCCCACAGTCAAACTGAAAATACACAGGGTAGCTAGTACATGAACTCAGGCCTACCGAATGCCAATGCTTATTACGTCTTTTCCTCTCTATCACCACACGAGAATCTTAACTGAGGGGGACAAACATGAAGAAGTGCCTGAGGACACGCAGATATTAAATGATAGACTAAGCACACCAACATAGGCCATTTGCTTCCAGTGTTTCCACTCGTAATACCACTTACAAACAGAAAGACTTGAAACACTTAAGAAAAAACACAAAAATATTCACAGGCATGGCTTCAAACCTGTAATTTTATTTAGTTATCAATGCTCCTGGGAGGGACCTTAAGAAAGATAACTGCTGCACTGGCAGCAAGATAAAATCTGGACTATTTTCAAGATTCTGTTAAGTATTTAAAATGCCACATTTCTTCACACTTTTTCTCTACTTCCAATTATCACATGACCAGTGATTCCTATCTATTGCCCTGTATTTCTTACTGAGGGATAGCAATTAATTTTGTTAAATATACTTAAGAGTCTTTACCAATTTTACAATACACAAGCATCCTTCCTAATGAGCTTTCCCAAAATATCAGAAAAACATAAAAAAGATGGTGCCAAGGCATTCTGCTTATGTAATTAACATTGTTAAGGTAGATTACAATATAATTGAGGTTAACAATCCAGAACTGCATCCAAAAGCTTGTTTTTTTCAGTGCTAATGCCTGCAATGTCTACAGTCACAACTAAATTACATTTAACTTAAAAATCACTTCATCTGTTTATCACCATCAGACTGAGACTTAATTACCATAAAGAAATTTTAAAAATCTGTTTACCAAATATCTGAAATCTAGAGTTGTGTTTAATTGTTAATTCAATTTTCCACACTCACTATAAAATCAATATGATTGTCGATGTTCTTACTGAAATGAGTGGAAAAGTTCGGGGGCAAAGAAAACAAAATAAGCTAAACTTACGGCAATCATCGACACAAATGTTCCAAAAGCAAAATCAAGGTCTGTAATTCATCCATCCTTTGTCTGTCTGCTTTTAATTATTATTACTTTTTTTTTTTTTAGATTACTTAGTCCAGTATGGCCTTGAACTCAAACTCAGTGTTCCTCTTACCTCACCCTCTCAAGTGCTGAGATTACAGGTGTGCATCACCATGCCCCGCTAGAAAACTTTTTCAAGTTAGATATTTGGCAAATATAAACAAGGGACTGGAACAGGAACACAAACTTTTAAACAACACCTACAAAATTAGTACCATAAAAGTGCCAGAAGTTTTAACAGTATCGTATGTGCATGAAAGAGGGGAAGGACAACTTCTTCTTAACAGAGGGTTCCATTCGAAGTCTGCTATGTCTGAGAATCACTTTTCCTTCCTACTTTCATCTCCCATAATTAGCAATCAAAGGAGTATATTGTCATCAGCACTCATGCTGACATTTACAGCAATTTCCAGGCTGAGAACATTCACAAGGACTTACATAAAACCAAGTAGCTCAATTTATCAGAATTATGTAATTATGTGCAGAACATATAGTGCTCCAATTGTTACACATAACAGCAATTCATTTTTCGAAGGCACAGAAAGTTCAAGAGTTTAGATTGGCACTTGTAACTTTCCTTATTGATCTTGCACCATCTCCAATTTAATTCCATATAGCACTAGTATTTCTCCTGAAAATCTTTTAAATTTATATTTAAATTTACACACAATAAAATTCATTGGGGATACATAGGTCTGAGTTTCAACAAGTGCAAAGACTGGTATCTGCAAGAGTTAGCTTTCCCCTTTTCAAACTGAACTTGGTGTGTTCAACGTGCTTCAAACAAAAATTACAACATATTTACAATTGATCCTGTCTAATTTGGTTTAAAAAAAAATTAACAGCCAAGTGTAGTAGCCCATGCCTGTAACCCCAACACTCAGGGAGCAGAGGCAGGAGATCTTTACATAGAGTTTGAGGCCAGCGTGAACTACACAGTGAAACAGTGTCCCAAAATAAAGAGCCCTTTTACTTTAGGCTCTTAAATCTAATAAAGTACTTGTACATACAGTAATTCTTGACACTTCCTTTACTAGTACAATGAAATGTCTCCAAACACAGGTAGGAACTAGACACACTAAAGTTATACAAAACTTTGTATGTGCCGAAAAGGGGGAAAAGGGTCACTACAAGTCAATTTAATAATATACACAAAACCAGAGCCCAAACAGTACTGGCACCAGTAAGTTTAGTATCACTAGACTAGGGTTTACAGTGTGCAGTGCCAGAACATGCGGCTGATGAGCCAGGATGAGGCCAATAAACAACTAGAATCTGTCTGCCAGGTCAGTCGTTATATGGTTGCACATCACTTAGAAAACATTTAGGAAAGAAAAACAAAGGCAAGGGGACTCATCTCCAGACCAACTAAATCAGCGTATTGAAGATACAGGCATTTGAATATTTTAAACGCTTTCCAGATGATGATAATGTACACCCACAATTCATGATTACTAAAATGGCAATGGAAAGTCAAGAAGATCATAGAGAAGTAACATGATCAGATTTGCTTTCAGGAAGACAACTGGCAACAGTAAAGAAATAGGAATAGAAGGGAAAGAACTTACTGGTGAGCAGTTAAAAATGACCCTGTAATGGACAGGCATAGTGGCCCATGCCGTAATCCTAATATGGGGGAAGCTGAGACAAGAGGATTGCTGGAGTTCGAGGACAGCCTACCTAGTGAGTTCAAGGCCAGCCTGAACAACACAGCAAGACCCTGTCTCAAAAAACAAAAAGACCATGTAATAACACAATGGCAGACACATGGCAGACACACTGAAGTCAGGAGATATTTTACTGGTAAAATTAAATGAAAGTAAGATGTATCTAACAAGCATTAAGAATAACTTAAGTTTAAATCTTTTAAAACTTAAGAAATACAGAGTAGTTAAGGTTGGGGAAATTTTAAATAAAGTGACAATAAAAATCGAGAGATTAAAAAAGCTCAATACAAATTGGGCCATTAACATATACCACCAAGGAGCACAAAGAGAAGTATATGTAAAGGGAGCCACCAACATTTGTTATGTGGAGTGCCTGTAATAATGCAGATTCCCGGGTTGTAAGCAATAGAATACAGATTAAGTCATTTAAGCCCCTGAACTTGTGCGTGTGTGTGTGTGTGTGTGTGTGTGTGTGTGTGTGTGTGTGTGTGTGTATGTGTGTGTATGGGGGGTGCTGGGGACTGAACCTAAGGGCACCAAGAGTGAATGGCAAGTGCTCTACCACTGAGCTACAACCCCGGCCTTTTATATTCCCAGACAGGTTCACACTAAACTGACCAGGCTGCCCTTGAACTTGCCTCCTCCTGTCTCAGCAGACAGAGTAACCCGGGATTACAGGGGTGTGAGATCATATCCAGGAGCCTCTAAAAATTCTGAGCATCCCTGAAGACAAAGAAGCACAATGAACCAGGATGGAGACAGAATTCTGTGAATAACTGAGGTCAAATATTTTGATTATTTCAGAACACAATCCACAGAGAACAAAGCTGTTTCACTTACGCTGTGAAATCTGCAGCTGCGGTAGCTGCTTTGGTGGCATCCTTATTCAATGTTGCACCCCAAACAGCACCTTTATGACCCAAAAATGTTCCGATCCAATCTCCTGTATCTCCCTGGCGTAACATAGGTTTTCCATCTAGAAATATTTAAAAAGACACCGATTTAAAAGTGTATTGTTTTAATTCTAAGATTCAAACACAAAATGACCACGGAGAACAGCAAGCCGTTTTTTGTTGTTTAAAGTGTTCCCACTCATGGGGATCACTACAGAATATCCAAAAATAAATGAACGGAAAGGCTGAACCTGTCATTCTCTCTGGGAAGCATCTGTGATTCGCTGGGAATACAGGTCTGCGTTAAAAACAATCTAAATGTGAGTATTTCCCATTTGAGCATGAAGCTAATACCACAAAGGAGTATTCGAGGAGAACGAAAGTCTCTGTAAGGCATCGCTATTTGCCTGACCTAATTTTTCTTTTTCCTAAATCGTTGAAAGACAGTCACAGTGACTAAAAAGATGCAGTCCGGCTTCCCGAGAAGCACCAATAAAAATGAGGACGGGCTTTAGTTGGGGTAATACGGTACTCATCCTCCTCAAAGGGCTCAAAAAGGTCGCCACCCGGCTCCAGCCACGTCTTCAACGAGACCCTCTTGCCAATCTGACCAGGGCTGGCCTTCGCCCAGGATCCGCCCCACCCGTCGGACCCAGGGAGCCCCCAGCCCTACCGGCAGCTGTCGGAGACCCGGATCGCCGGCCTTGCTCTCACCTTTGCAAGCACTGATTAAGAAATACCCATAAGGAGTGATGCCACTGAAGGCCAAGTCGACCACGGGCCGCGTGTGGCCGGAGCAGGTGAGCGGCGTCTGCCTCATTGCCATGGCGGCGGTGGCGGGGTCGTCGTTGTCCTTTCTCTTCTGGGCAGCGCCGCTGGCTCCACAGGGCCCCCGCCCTCACACTGGGGCTGGGCCGGGAACCAGGAAAGGGAGGCCAATCCGATGGCTGCGGGGTCCGAGGGGATTAGGGAGGGGCCAAGGAGTCAACCACCGGCGGGCGACAGCCACCGAGGAAGGGAGAGGGAGGGAGGGAGGAAAGTAGGGGAGGGGGAGAAGCGGAGATCTGGCCCAGCCACGACCCGCGCCGTCAACACCGGTACCGGCAGGAAGTGACGCAACAAGTGACGCAAGGCGTCCGCCGGAAGTGACGGCATGGCGGGAAGGCGGGCTCCCCTGGTGACAGACTCGACGGAGGAGCGAGAACCGAGTGCGCACGCTAGTTCGGGGCACGCTGAGCACGTGATGCTGGCGGCGCGCAGACCGCGTTCTGCTCCTGGAGATTCGCGGGGGGGTGGCGCGGTGGAGACTCCGAGTTGGGGTAGTTTTATGCCTTGCCGGGCGGAGTTCACGGAGTCCAGAAGCGATTCCCACACAGCGTCGGCTCGGGCGCCTGGTGACCTCGCGGAGGAGCTGTTCTGGGGTGGCGAACGTCTGTCTACGCCGAAACCGGAGAGTGCCAGGAGGCGGTTCAAACCCGCCAATGGCCCACTGCTTTTGAAGTTTTTCCTGTTACAGAATACACAGGCAGGCGCTGGGCATGGTGGGGCATGCCTGTGATCCCAGCACTATGGAAAGCTGAGTCAAGAGGATGGCAAGTTCCAAGTCCAGCGTGGGAGCCTGAGCCAGAGGGTGTCTCAAAAAATAAAAAAGTCTGGGTTCAGTTCCCAGGACCGCGATAAATACACGCGTGCGGACAGATAGGAGCAGCTCACTTGGGCTGCCCACAAATAAAACCGTTAAGGAAAGTAATTTCTCTAGCCACCCCTTCTGTGTAATTTTCTTTCGTTCCTAGTATTTGTGATATGAATGAAGGCTGAATTCGGTCAAAAAAAATGTATACATCTGTTGAGGACTTTAAGCATTTACTGTTAAATTCTACTTTTTTCCCTTGGAGGACTGGAGAACTAGTGTGTGACCCCCAGTTTTTTTGATGTACAGCAATACATGATAAAATTTTGATCCTACACTCCCAATACGTGGATAGTAATTTCCAGACCACATACATAGAATACCTAGGCTAAAAATGGAAACAGTGAAGGACTCTCCAAGATGTAAATATAAATAAAAACTTTTCTTCTTCCAGGCAGGTCGCTGTGATGATCCATGACTGCTCTCCTCCGTAACAAGAACTATTCATAGATTACTGCTTAAAAGTTTTTCTAAGCTGGGAAAGGCTTTTCCTTGGGCAAATTTTGTTCTTGTTTTGTTTTGCGTTGGCGTTGGGGGTCTCACTAACCCAGGCTGCCCTTGGTCTCAGCATTCTCCCTCAACCTGGAGTGCTGGGATTAAGGGTGTGTGCCACCACACTTGGCTTGGGTAAATTGTTTCTTTTTGTACCGGGGATCAAACTCGGGTCCTTGTGCTTGCAAGGCAGGCGGTGGAACCGCTGAGCTAAATCCCCAGCCCTGTTTCTTTAATATTAAGAGATTTTGCGTTTTGTTCACTACTTTATCCTCAGTGCCGTAAAGCCTTAGCATTTGTATCTGTTTGGATAAATACATATACATCAATAAATACTTAATGAATACAAATGTCTGTAAATGTTTCATCTTTTTAGCTATCAAGTATTTACTGGTCTTCAAGGTTCAAGTGAAATAACTTGAACAGGAACTTGGAATTCTACTTCCTTAGCACTTTCTACAGTTTCTTATAGTACAGAATTTTTTTGGGGGGGGGAATGGATTTGTACCGAGGGCCTTCATACTGATTACTTACCCAGCCCTATTTTTAAAATTGGAAACAAGGTCTCACCAAGTGACTAAATTGCCCAGGCTAGGATCAACTTTGGTTTCTTCTGCCTCAATTTCTTGCTGGAATTACAGGCATCCAGCCATATTTTTTCTTGTCTTTTGTTTGTTCTCATGCCCTCTTCTCTTCTCTCTTTTCTCTCTCCCCCTCTCCTCCCCGCTCTTTCTCCCTCCCCCTCCCACACTTAAGTAAGGAACTCCTTTAATGCAGTAGTTTCAGCTTCTTCATTTGTACTCTGGTGCAGCAAGAGTGAATAGCGTTTAGTGAATGTTCAGCAAATAAATGCTGATTAAATAGATTCCTGCACTATGGGTAGAAGTAAATAAATAAAAGACACATTCAAGTTACTATGCTTTTAAAAAGTCACTGTGCTTGATCTTAGCCAAAAGGCCGAGTAGCTATGAGATACGTTTAAAATAATACAACTAACTGGTCTGTTGCTCATTTAGTGCTCCTTGTGTCTAGATAAGAATGCAATAACTGTGGTTCCTAATTGAGTGCTAATAAATATATTCCTGCTCATTTGCATTCTGAGTTGTGAAAGTATTACATATCATGTCTAGATAAGAATGCAATAACTGTGGTTCCTAATTGAGTGCTAATAAATATATTCCTGCTCATTTGCATTCTGAGTTGTGAAAGTATTACATATCATGACCAGTTGTGTAGGCTTCCAGGTCAGTTTAATAATAGAGGACATTGATGCAATATTATTAACAAAATTAAAAGATGAAAGAATCACATTAATAGATGTATAAATTTTTTGATAGACTTCAGCATTCATTTACATAAATTCATAGACACTAGAACTAGCAGGGAATTTTTTTTGTCGTGGTAGAATATTTGAAAGAAATATCCCACCTTTTGGTGAAACTCAAAAGCCTTCCCTATTAGCATAGGCACAAGACAGGCATGATGACCCCTCCCACTTCAGGACAGCCACGTACTACACGTTTAGGTAACCAAAAAGGCATAAATGTTGAACAGAAAGTTACACATCTGTAATTATTGAGATTATACATAAAGAAAATGGAAATGTAAAACAATACATAATTATATAAAAATAACAAATTATTAAAATCTTGAGAGTTTCCTGAATTAAAAAAAATGTAGTGAAAGCATTTCTGTACCTTACTATAAACAAAAAAACAATCAAAAAAAGGAATTGGGGGAGGGGCAGTGCTGAAGGATTGTTTGAAATAGCCAAAAATTAGAACGGAGTTATGCATCTGTACTACAACAGAATGTAAACGATGATATATTCATACAATGGAATACTAGGTAGAAACAAAAATGCAACAACTTGGTGAAATCCCAGAACCATGACATTAATAATACACACATACAATTCCATTCTAAAAAATTTAAAAACCCCTAAAAAAAAAAAAACATATCATGTGTAGAGATACAGATGTATGTGACAAAACTAGAAAGAAAAGGAATGATTAATAAGATTAGGGCTGAAGATTTAGAGAAAGAATTGGATAAGTACATGACGCTTCACATTTTACAATGAAATTTCTCCTGATTTTTCATTATGAATATTTTTTGTAAAGACGAGTGGCAGATACTCAACATGTTTATTGCAATGTTTTTGTTAGAGCCCACTCATTTTTATAAATACTCTTTAATATTTACTTAATATTTGTTGTAGGCATAATTCAAGATTCCAGCCTGGTGATGGAAATGTCCTGTACAAACTATGCCCTTTGAGTTAAGTAGAAGTTGTGAATATTAAGAGGTAGTCACTGCTTTGATTCAGTTACATCATGTGACAAAGGTGTCCAGAAGTCACTCTTGTGAGCCTTACATATAAGGCTCCATTTTAGCAGAGGAAGAAATTTCCCTGCCAGCCTTGAAGAAGCAAGGTGCCAGGCTGTGGGAAGAGGGTCAGATGGGGAGGCCCCAAGAGCAGCTGCTAAGAGCTGAGAGCACCCTGCCCCCTAGCGTCACCTCAGTGCCCAGCCTTGAGAAAATGCATTCCACCAGTAACTTGAAGGAGAACCAAAAGGTGGAGGTGGGTGCTTTTCTACTTGAGCCTTTAGATGAGGACATGATCAGCCAATCCTTAATTTCAGCCTTGTAAGACGCAGAGCAGCAGTCCCAGCTAAGACACCCTAGATTCCTGACACACAGACACTGTGGAATAACAAATTTGTGATGCCTCAAGTTATTGGAATCATGGTAATTTGGTAAATTTGATAAAAGCAACATTGTATTTAATGAAGATGCAAAAAAAGAAACCAAACTAGACCCGAATATCTGTGAAAATCTGAATAGTCGCTATATTAGTCTCTTAGCCATTCTTTAGCTACGTATCACAGTCATGTGTGTGCGTGTGTGTGTGTGTGTGTGTGTGTGTGTGTGTGTAAGTTTCCACTGCAAAATGGGATATCAGAAAACCTGGAGCCCTGTTCTCACCTCTGAGGGCAGTGACCCAATGACCTGCGACCTCAATCACAATGGACCCTTGGGGTCACGCAAGCCACACATATCCCAGAGCAATGACAGATATGCTAATTACCTGATTTGATCATCACACGGTGTATACATATATTGAAATACCATAGTTTCCCATAAATATGTACAATTAGTATGTCAAAAATAAATTTTAAAACACAATAAAATAAATGAGTCCTCCCTTTTATTTTTCTGAGTCCTGAAAATGAATACTTTTGATAAGAGCATAAAAGACTTCCAAATCTCTACCTACATGTCTGGGATAAAATCTGACATTGCCAGCAATGTTCAGCAACAGAAAAATAAGAATTCCGAATAAAAAGACAATCAATACAGAATTACCCAGAGATAACTCAGATACTGAATTAGCAGATATGTCTATTTAAAATATCTATTACAACCATGCTTGAGGCCTCATGGAAAATAGGCATACAGTGAACGCAGTAGAAGAAAATCTCAGGAGAGCAATAGAAATTAAGAAAAGGAATCAAACTGAAATTATGAAATGAAATATATATGATAACTGAATTTAAAACTCGTAAGATGTGTCTAAATTCTCTGAAGAGCAGACACCAACAGTGGATTAGAAATGCAGGAGATAAGATAGCAGAGGGCTGCCCTTATAGCTCAGCTGCACAGCGCCTACTGGCAAGTGCAAAGATCTGAGTTCAATTCACAGTACAAAAAAAAAAAGATATTAGAGAGAATGCTTCTGAGTGAAGAGAAAAGGGGGCTGCAGTAGGTAAAGAGAAGCTTCAGGCCAGGATACGGGTCTAACACTTGTGAAAGAACCAAAGGGGGGAATTGTCTAGAAGGAGAATCAACTACAGTACGCGTCTGAAAAAAAAATCTCACTCAGGCAACCACCCTGCAAGCTTTGCAGGAACTTCCAC